CCTGATGAGCAGAAAGACTGAACTCAAGCTCTCTGTTCAAGACTGGCTGTGTGTTCTGGAGCTTTCTCACACACACACACACACACACACACACACACACACACACACACACACACACACACACTGCAACACAATTTTTTTTTATTAACAAGAACCAGCATGTAGTTTTCTAACACAACAAAATCAACAGAGGAGAGGGTATATGATTATTAAATTACACAAATATATTACACACATTTGTTTTTTCAATTTTAGTCATCACCAAGAGTTATTAAGTGCACTTTTACTACAGGAAATGCATATGTAACGCTTCTCTTCCTGATGACACAAATCACTCAGGCGGACACAGAGAACTGCATTCTGCGTTGTTTATTCTGTAACAGAAATACACATCCTCTGGCAACAGTTTGCATTTAAACATGCATCTTTCTGTATTCAGCAACCATTTTCTGCTGTGTTGCCACATAACGTCATTTTAACAAAACATTATTTATTTACAAAAGTTCAACATACCTGTAACAGAAATATACATCCTCTGGCAACAGTATGCATTTAAACATGCATCTAAAAAACCCCAAACAAATAGTAAGAAATCCCCCCTGCACATATTAATGTCATCATTCCAGCTACACATAGCATGAGCAAATTTAACCACACAAAGTAGGTCACACACGGCAATCACTCGACAGACTTGATCTAAAACATCACTCATTGTTCATATTGGGCTTGTATGTGTTATTAATATGTGTTAAAATACTAAATTTGTCACATTTAGCTGGAGCACATTTTACCTACCACCTTCCCGTATTCAGCAACCATTTTCTGCTGTAGGCGGGGCTTTGCAGGTGAAAGGTGAAAGAAACAATTACACACTGTTGCCACAAGAGGTCTCTCAACAACCACAAAATAAACAAAATAACCCATTTTGGTGAAAGACAATTAAACATTATTTTTACCCTGTTACACATATATACACACATTTATATGCACATATGTTAAAGGAGGAGCATATGCTGACTGTTTTACTTGCTTTTCTATTTTCAGACTTAGAAATCACTTTTATATTCATTTGAATCTCTTTTTCTAGCATCATGAAGAGAGGTTTTGCTTTTCCTAAACTTGTATTTGTGTGTGTGAAGTTTACATAATAATATAATAAAGTTTATAATAAAACCAGCATCTTTTAAAGAGCGATGCTCAACATAAAAACCCAAAATCACATGTTCATAAGATACGGAAAATGATGTTAAAATTTAATGAGCAATAAAAGCTTCAACATTAATCCAGAAATATGGAGTAAATTGGCAAAACCAGAATCAAT